CACTCAACTTATTTAGCAGAGGTCGCTTTTTTAAATAGTGAAACTCTTATCCTCTTAATTACATATGTAGTTATCAGTCTATTTCCTCACTATGAGGCAATAAATACTGAATTAATTGTCTGACCATAAATTAATTTCATTTTTCCATTAAGGCTTCACTCACTACTTTTGACAAGAGCAATGGTAAAATAATATTAATTTGATGGAAGTTTCTCCGAAAATTTGTTCTTTTTCATAGCTATATTTCATTTGATTCTACCTTTGTAAATATTTCTTTTTAGCAAACTCAAACAAAAATATTTTTCTAAAAATTGTTAAATATTGCTTTATAATTAAATTTTAAATAAATTGGACTTTTCTTAAGTTTTTTATAGTGTTCTAGGCCTAGCATCATATAATCATCTGTCGTTGTGGGCGGGTTCTTCGAAGATAGCGACTTGGCTTTTGTTATGAACGACGTAAATGTAGGGGAGAAGCTGTGGGTACGATCACTGTTATTTATTTATTGCAACTAAAAATCAGGATGGCACTTCAAATTTTGTTAAATATATTGATAATGGTATTGTGTTACATGAAAGATTGTACAAGTTTATGCTTGACTTTTCCAAACTGCAAGGCGATAGTTTTATCTCCCAAAAGTAAATGCCTGACTTGTATTACTTGAGAAAATTGTGTGACAAATATTTAATAGATGTTAAAAAAATATCTGGGCTTGAAAATATTTACGCTAATGGATTTAACGATTTTGTCAAGATCGTACATAGAATGGTAGAAGCCGAGAATTTGATGGCCAGTGCTTTCGAGGTGCATGCTTCGAATGACGTTAAGAGTCGTCTATTAGATGAGAAAAAACGTGCTAAGAAGTGGAAACAAGATAGGTACTACTGATTTTGTATAACTTTGCAGAGAACGATTCAATGGGGAAATGAAGGCCCAAATGAAAATTTTTGACGAAGAACTAAGGAGATATCGAGATAAATACCGTGAATTTATCAGGGCTAACGAAGAATTAGAAAGAGTGGATGCTGATAAGACTCATTCACGTCTTGATGTTGAAAAGGTATTATGAAAGTCTTAAATTTATTTTTGTGTGTACTTATTTTTAATTTTATTTGACAATTTCTGAATCAAATAACGGCTTTTCAGGCCACCGCATATGCGCTTCAAAAAAAACGGGATTTCAATCGGGCAAAGAGTGACTATGGCATTGCGTTAGAACAATTCAACATTTATCGCCGAACGCACTATTCTCACACCTTGCCTAGTTGGGGAATGGGTGGACATAAAATTGATTCTGATAAAATTGAATGCACTCGGGCACTTATTGATATTCTTGTCGAACGTCTCCGCGTCACTATTGATAGACTCGTTACAGTTTGCGATGAACTTCGGGGTGTAGCCGATATTTTTGATGCTGATTCTGTAAGCTTTTTTATTAATCACTGTGTATACTTCCATATATGTATTTTTATATTTGCCTTCATTCATTACAAGCTGAATATGTTCCTTTTGTGGTTAATTCAACTAAATCATGATATTCATTAAAGCAATTTTTAATTGATCATCAGATTTTGACACGTCTATTGTTTTATATCTACTAGCTTTGCGTATAAAAATGTCTTTATGGTGCTTTAGCATTTTATCTGATATTATTATTTGTCTATTATTTTAAATATACAGAAAAA